TTTTTTAGTGTTAAATTCTCCTTTTGATGATATAAATTTTTCTTAGGATACATTTTTAATAATAAAAGTTTTCATAAATCAAAATGTGTGGACTAGATGTATACATGGAGAATTGTTAATATGAATCAAGTCAAAGTCAGGCTTGGAAGCTGGTGCTAAATTACTGAGACTTGCAGAATGATGTGTTGTTATGGATTGCACTCCCAAATTCCTGCTTCCTTTTGGTTAAGCAAATTGGACCTACTAATACAGAGATTTTATATACAGATACTTATACGTGTGAGAGAACTTGTATGTACCCTAAAAATCTTGAGTTCAGATAGATCAACACTTGCAAAAGAAAGGCATTAAGTGTGAGTGTATTCAGTTTTGTTTTGCCCAGAAGATAGGCTGCTTTTACCTCATTTGAAATTAGGTGAGAATGTTAATGTAAGGCTGAGATGCCATTTATAAGTCCTGTTAAATCAAAATCTCTTTAGTTCTCTCACCCTCTTTTCCATTTTTTTTCCAAGTGGTCTGAGGGCAGAAATTTGACTTGATCAAGCGTTTATTAATATGAAGTGGTGCGTATAGCGGTGAATGTATTTGTGAATGCTAACCTTTGGAATATCATCTACTGGAAAGCTGGAAGGCAGTCTCAACCTGGGTTGCATGGACTTTGTGTAATTGAGTTAACTGCTCTGTTCTGTCATTCAATTATAATAAGAGCAGAACTCCATTTATTAACTTGTTTAGAAAATGTCAAATTAGAAAATCAGTGAGAAGGACTTTGAGTCAACATGGCTTGATGGATCATGTGCATCTCAAAAATGGTGCTGCTAATACAGCAGTTGCACAGCAACAATCTGGTATGTTTTCCTTGGATAAAACTACGATGAACTGCTTTCAAAGTTTGAACCTTTGGTTTTCGTAGAACGTGCAGCACCGTTCCAGCAGCAGTGTGAATGCAGGATGACTCGGTTTACATAGGAAATTAGGTGCTTGCTCTTACATATCTGGGAAGACTTTGTCATTTCGGCCTTATCTTAGAAAATCAGTATGCATTAACTTAGACCAGTCCTGTATTCTGAAGCTGTCTTCATAGTATGCACTGGGAAGAGGCTGTGAGGGAAGAATAAGATAAGTAAGATAAGAGCTGAAATATCTTGTGTTTGTCTTAATTTCCCCAGATGCATGTTTTAGCTGATAAATATTCAGGCTTTTTTCTTTTTTTTTTTATCTTTAGCACATTATTTATGCCAGATAAGAGTAAAAGACACTGGAAGCAGAGAGAATCTGAGTGGCTCCAGCCAACCATCATCTTTTCTCCCTTTCCTAGGGGTTCACAGGACTCAGGTTTTCATCCTGTGCGATGCTTAAGGCCAGCAAATGTGTTGTTGTTTTATACCTCCAAATTCTGCCTTTATGGGTTTTGAGCCTCTTCTCCATCTGCTGGGAAGTGTGGCAGCCTGGTGAGAGGTATCCTGGTATGTCCAAAAGCCCAAGAGAAGAACAAGTAGCTGTTGTGTGTTGGGCAGCAAGTCTGGCACTGCGCAAAGTGCTGACTCCGCAGTGCGGGAGTGAGGTAGGAACTGTGTCCTTCTGCAGCAGGCATCATGTGTTACTGCCCTCAGCTATGTCCAGAAAGTTAATACACTGTGTATAATACCTGCATGAGAGTGTACATCTTCACGTGCAGACATACATGGCTGCAGAAACCCAGAATTAAGTGGTCACCCATTCTGCAGTTGGGTTTTCAGTGATGGAAAAGCCTGAGAGACAACCGTGGCTGAGAGGCAGCCCCTGGGAGGAGTGAAGCAGCCACCAGCAGCTCCGTGGTGCAGGTCCAGGCCCGGGAGCAGGTGCGGCTCCCACGGGAACACCCGTCCTCTGCTTGTGCTGATTGACTCCAGGAAATGCCTGCAATCCTAACGCTCCTTCTGTGTTTTTTAAGCAGGCGCTCTAATTGCACCGCCTAAAATAAAATCATCAGGCTAAATTTAAATCTGGATTGCATCAATTGTTGAAGCCTGACAGCGGGGTTTTCCTGCTGATTAATGCAAGATTGGGTATTAGTGTAATGTTCGTATTTCTTTTTCTTTACTACATTCGTTCCTTTCAGGTACAACTGTCTTTAGAATGCCTTTTTTTTTCCTCTCCCCCTAAAAGAGAAATAAATTATTCTGTCTGCTAGAAGCTTGTCTCCCTTGCATTTTTCTCCTTGAAATTGTTGGCAAATTTGCTGCAAATTTGCACCAGTTTTGACTGTGGCTAGGAAAGAGATTAGTTTCAGGTGTAGTGAGATATGCGTCATGAGAAATGGAGATTCCCTGTAAAACACTTTTTTTTTTTTTTTTTCTGGAATTATTGAATATACTGGCATGGGAGCATTGGGTGATGCCTGCTTGTGGGAGACTGCAAAAATGCCCAAATAGCTCTTGAAAATACTATAGAAATGACTGAGTAAATGACATTCGTGGCTAATAAAGAACAGAGAAAGGATAATAGTTTTGTCCCAAAACAGCAAAATCAAAAAAAAATCTTATTCTCTACTTAAACCTGAAACTGTGAAAGGAGGTAAATAAAAACAGTGAGTGAACTTAAGAGTCTTTTGATGTTCTGTTTTTTATCAAGCGATTGTTAATCTGTTGTCTTGAGTGCAGTCGTCTCCCCTCTCTTGCTTCATCTTTCTGCAGTATAAATAATGCAGAGGGCACCTGGAGCTTTAAGTGCATCAGGCAATTCTCATTTCAGAGGGGCAGCAGCGAAGCTTGTAGGCAGTTCAGTTGAGCCCTTTAAAAAATGTATGAACAAACTTTTGCCACTTAAGACTCTAACCAATTTCTTTTATTTTCTGTGACTTCGCTCATGAAAAAAATAAAAAACCATAGCTTTTGTGCATCTTATTGAGTCCTGATCATTCCTAATAAATAAGGTTCCTAATCCCTAATAAAATCCTAACTAAAAAGAGGGCCTTCTAATAGATGCAGAAATTATCCAAAAATCGGCCTCCTGCTGCATTGCACTTGATTTATGGCCATTAAAGGAGAGTAACTGAGGAAACCTGAGCAGATTCTTGCTTGGTATCTGCCAGTTTAAAATAGATTCCTCGGACAATTGTTGCGGGCAGCTCTGGTATAAATTAATGGTTAATTTAATTTGACCTTTTTAAGAAGCATATACCATAAGTAACTCCCTTAAATGTCCTGCATAAATTACTTAATTTACGAAATGCAATTTGCTTGCTTTTATTTGTTTTATTGCCTACTGTGTGCTTTCAAAGCCATCTCCAGCCGCTTCCCTAATGTAATAAAACTGAAATGAAAGTCAGACGACTGTCAAATGACTAGGCAGCTCTGGAGCTAATGAAAATGAGTAGATTTGAGTATTATTTAACTGATGCAAGACAGATGTTCTCAAGCTGTTTCATGATGTTTCCGCAGAGCTTGTTGCAAATCATATTCCTTCTCGTTGCATGGGCCTCTAGGCTTCTTATTTTCTCTTTGTGAAAACATAATATCCCTATATAAATAGGACGAATGCTTACATGGGAAAATTCGTTTTAGGAATATACTCAGTAACTGTTCAATGAAAATTAAGGAATCTTATGTTGATTCTGATTGTAGTTATAGCTTGCGCAGCCTTGTTTACTGATTGCTGTGGCAGAGTGGACCCTAACCTTCCTCAACACGGACCTGGTTGAGACCTTTTCATATATATATATATAAAGACAACGAATAACTGAATTACTTGATCATATGTAATCTGCCTGTGGAGAAAATTATTGGATCTAATAGATCACTCGAAGTAGACACATGGCATTCAAAAGAGGTGGCAGGCCCTAGAGTAGCATGTGAGCTTAGATTCTTTATAAGCTGAGGACTGAACCCAATAGGTTAAGCTGCATTTCTTGGTGTCAGTGGCTGACAAGTAGCGTTATGGGTGTAAGATGTGGATTCTGTTTGGAGTAGAGATTTTTAAGCCAGGTAAGCTTTATTTTGGCTTTCATGTCATTGCAGTGACAAATAGAAAGATTAATAGGTGGCAGTTCCATGGTTATCATATAGTTTGCAGAGGTTGTTGAATGGGTGGGAAGTAGCATGAATTTTTATGCTCATCTCATCTGTGACCTAAAGATCTTCTGCAATTTACCCGTATTTTTAAAGCTTTTCTGCTTTCTCATCTTGATCAGTACTGCCTGCTGTAAAAGGACTTCTTTCCTCTTTTCTCCCAGTTTGTGTAGTTTCTATGTGGTCTTTTAAAAATCTCAGTATCATTTTCATATGCACTAAATAATCTCTCTGTATGCTGCTATTTTGCCTTAAGGCTTCTTCTGCAACTATTTTGCAGATAAAACAGCCATTAAACTTGCACGGAATTGTAAGCTTTATTTTTGTTAATTGAATTCTATGAGATTTTGCTTTTTATTTTGATGAAAACTGGCTGAGACCTCTAGTCTGTGTGGAGAGGAAAAAAACCCCACTTCTGCAGTATTTTTGTTTGGAAATTATTGGTAGTTACGTTAAGCGTATATTCAGCCATTACTTTTTAGTCCTACTCCATCAGTTTTGTTATCAGAAAAATATTTAAGGTATTTATGTTTTAGTTTTGTTGCAGTCTTTGTAGTTTTCTCCAATAGGATTTGAATGAAATATATGAAAGATTTTCTAGTAGCATTTACTGGGACAAAAGTTGTAAAAAAACGATCCTTTAAATCTTATCTGAGCCAAAATGTATCTGAAACTCAAATATTTCCATAGTGATATAAACCATTCTCTACTGATAAATGATTTTTAGCTTTTATTTAAAATAATTCTAATTATCTTTGTCATTTATCATTTCTTGGTGATTATATGTGCTTTATATTATAATATTCAAATTTCTTAGTTCTTAGGAATAATAATAGCTGATACGATGAGCTGGTTCCATCTAAATTGCTTTGTTCATCCACACGGCTTTTACTGATTAAAGAGATTTTGCAGGTTCATTAGAGATGAAAGATCTGTCTTATTTTATTACAGGTGCAGATGAAACAGACCATTAACATGCTCGAGCATGTAGTGTACCAAGGTAAGTGTTCTCTGCAAGGGGTGAAATCATCACTGGCTTTCTCTTCTTGCTATTGACACAGTGACTTATTATTTAAATAATATCTAAATAAAATTCTTGTGATTCTTCTCATTACTTCCAAAAGACATATGTCTAAAATTTTCATGTTAGCAGCTTTTATTTTCCTCCCCTTCCCTGCCCTCCTTCTCTTTTCACAAAATAATCCATTTATGTCTTTAGCCTTTTTAAGTTCTGACTCCCTCATCAAAACTGAATTTAAGCAGTCCTGGTTAATCAGCGTGTAACAACTTTCTAGGTATAACTGCAGAAGGATAAAGGCTGATTGAACCAAAGTTAATTTTGACTTGGCTTTTACCTTCGAATTATTTAGCAGCTCAGCATCAAACCCACTTCACCACAACATGCCTTCGGGGTCCGTCATAGACAGCGCAGAGCTCAGTAGAGCTTAGCTACCTCAAAAGCAATGCTCTAGTTCCAGTGATTTCTGCAGTGTTGGAAAGCTTTGCTGCTCATGAGAGTGCAATGAAAATTATCAATTAGAATACAAATGTGCTAATTAATGTATTAAAGGATTAAAACTCCAGTAAGTAAATAATGAAGTCAACAGCATGCTTGCTGATATGCAAAATTAAGTCCATTCTGAAGACTGAATCTGTGCACATCCCACCTTTAAAATGGCCACTTTTGCTTGGGATTGTATCACTGCACTTTCCTGATGATTTCCACCACCACAGAACTTCAACATGTAATTGCATAGAGCAAGAAGAGATGGAAAATAGATTTTAGTTTGTTTAGTTTAATTTTTTTTGGAAAGGCTAAAGCAAATTCTAGTGGTACCTGTACGAACCCTCAGAATATTACAGAGTCCTTTCTGATGACATTTTCTTTTCATTCGTGACACTGATATGTACCAGAGTGGATAATAAAGAAGACAGAAGAATCTTTCAGCTATGGCGATTTACTGGAAACATAATGACTAATAGTGTTGGGGAGGGATTACTGGTTTTAAATGAATAAATATCGTTCTTTTTGTTAGGGCTTTGAAAGGGTTTTAAAATCGGTGTGATTGTGAGAGAAAAATGTAGCAGTTATAACTTGAGATGGATAAGGGCTCTATTTTCTTCATGTTAACAACAGGACTGTTTATATATCGCTGTTCTGTCTCAAACATAATTCATTACAGTTACAAAGAGTCATACAAGTTTAGAAGTTTAGTGAGACACGCCAAGGAAAACAGCAGATGCTGTTGGCTGGTTTCTAAGTAGTGATCTTCTGAGATAAGTAAATACCATTTCTTGTTTCTGTGTTAAGTGCATCCACATACAGGTATGTATATAAACTCACTGAGTCAAATGTTCTTCTAGTGTGTGTGCAGAAACCAAATGCAAGAGCTATTGTATTTCAGATGCAACATACATTTCAGGTTTCAGTCATTTATTATCTTGAAAACTCTCTGCTATTTTCTGCAGAAATTAATCGTAATTTTTGGAAAATGTACTAATTTGAGTCATTAGAACATTGCGCCTACCTAAAACTCCTGTAATTTCAGCTAATTACCTGTTGTTCACTGTTTGTGTAGCTGTATAGCTTATCTGTATGTTGATTCAAATCTATATGTTGATTAAAACAAACCCACAATCCCCTTCCTCTCCCCTTTCTCCCCCCCCCCAAAAAAAAAAACCCTATTTAATTTCATGGAAGTGGGGGGCTCTGCGATTCTGTGAAATAAGCTGAATTCTGTAATTGAAGATGAGTGGACAAGTGTAGCGTTTAAATATAAGTTTTCAAATTTCTCTTTCAATAGAATTTGATTGTTTTTTAATTAATTTTGAACCTGAAACTTACTGAAGGCTTGGGGAGCCTGAAATACAAAAAATCTTTTTGTTTTACCAAAGGAGTATACAAGACATACATTACTTGCTTATGTAAGTTTTAAGAAAATCTTTAGATTCTCATATTAAAAATTAATATATAGGATGGTAATGATACAGTTTTTCTGTACCAGTAAATGTTCTTTGTGTTAGATCTGTAAAAAGAGGTAAGACATCCTGTATTTCATTTGCAAACACCTGGGTGGCTCTACACAAACAAATCATAGAATTTCCTTGAGCCACTTGGTGAAAAAAAGTATTTGAGGAATAATTTTGAGGAATACAGGGAATATTATTACCAAAAAAAAAAAAAAGTTATATTAAACGCTAATACTCTATTAATTTGTAATGTGTAGAGTACAGACAAGCTTGAAAATCCAGCGTCACTAAAGAGAAAAAATTCTGTAGAAGCTACATTATGGTTTTTGATATGCTTTTACAGGGATGTAGATGGTGAATGATTTAATAGTCGCATCCAAGTCTACCCCTCCTGGGTTTTGCTTGATGGATGTCAGAAGACTGACTATACTGAAAATCCTTGTGGTGCTGTTCAGGTCCTTACCCCTCAACTACTTCAGGGTAAGTGCCTTGTTAGCAGCTTCTGCCTTCTTTGGAGAATTCTTCCACCTCTGCCCCATCAAGATTTTTGGTAGTATCTGAAGTGGTCCATGATGCTGTTACCTGAGAACCTACAAATGGAGAGTGGGGCAAGAAGTGACTGCAGGAAGGCATAGTCTACCTTGAAGGAGTTGTAAATTTGACATTGCATCTTTGTTTCTGTTTCACCTGACAGTAAAACCTGCTAAAATTCCAAAATTAACCAGAGAAAATTAGCAAGGTGTTCCCACCTCCAGAGATTTCTCTGTGAATTTGTATACCAAAGGGAAAAAGCAAACAAGCAAACAAGAACTTAGCTGTTCTGCTGAGGCTGGGGCTCATTCTCTCTTGGCTGGGTTTATTTCACAGACCTCATCAGAATACAGAGTAGCAGCTGTGTGTCCTGTTTGTCATTTCACATCCTCAATCCTGACTTGCAATGCACCCTGACATGAGTATGATGAGTTGGAGTATATGATTTTTACTTTGTGGGAAATCCTCATCCTTAATGTAACCATATTTTTCTAGGTTTCCTATTTGGAAAGCAAGCAAACAAAAACTGGAAGCAGATCCATACTGTCATGTTGTTTTTCAGTGTCTATATTTTGTAATGTTTTATCAAAGTACATCCAAGCTGAGGCTTTGTGCTGTCCTAGAGAAGTCCAGCCAAATGCTGACAATTAACACAATTTATTTCCAGCTTTGAGAGGAAATTCCACTATTTCTGCTCTGGAGGCTTAAAGGGACCCTACATTAAAGATCCTCTGAGACCACTGTTCCTTTTCAGAGAAGGAGGGAAAAGTAGAAATTGCATTTGACAAGATCTTGATGAGATCAAGAGGTGGCGGTGCTGTAACAGTGACTAACAGTTTCTTTCATTCTTTCATGTTAGTACAACTCTTCTGTTTTAACAGTTTTCCACATACATTTTAATTTTAAAGGATCTGAATTTCTGAGTCTTGTTGGTCTTCGACATTATAAGACGCAAAAGAATTGTAGCTTGAATATTGTTTTTTCCAAGTAAGAGGGGCATAGGTCTGAAGAACTTAGTTTTGATATTTCTGACTGAACAACCCAGTAGCTGTTAGGCATTTCTAACTTTTTGGTTAAGTCTCTTAAACTGTAGGAGAAATTGCTAATTGGGATTTAATTGTTTAAGAAAGGACCCTTGCCCCATCAGGGAACTGTAATTTCTTTTTGTAGGTCTTAATGTGGAAGCAGTCTGGACTGTCAACTGTGATTTCTGTGTCGGAAGATGTTAATCAAAGTCAGGCACATCAGACTTGGGGTGACATTTGTCTTATCTTTTAAGTAAAATGTTCTGCCACTGCAGAGTTAGGTCTTAAGCATGATGCTTTTCACAATAATCTCTTGAATCAATCCTGCTGAAAGGGTTCAGATCACTTTGTTTCTCCCTTCAAAACTCAGGAATTCAGCTTGAACAGTGTCACATATCCAGTGTTTACCTCTGTTATTTAGAGAGGATTTTGGAGCAGTCCCTTTGTCACAGTTGTGAAGACAGTCAGCTACACAGGTTGAAATGGGAAAGAGGGTAGGACTATTAGGACTGGGTAAGAGTAGTCATTTCCCTGTGTGATGGAATGCCCTATTGGAGGAACTTTTTCAAAGAGCTAAGGTAAATTTATCATGGAGAATACAAAGGCTGCCAGCATGATGGCAGGGATGTCCTTGGGGGAATGCCCACATAAGGTGTATGGTGCGAGTGAAGATATATATGGGTAGATCTTTAAGCCATAAGAGCTAACATGTAATAGAAAAAAGTTGATATGTGAATTCCTCCCTGCCATTCTCCCCTCCCTCCAAAAAAAAAAATCCAAAAAAACCCAAGAATCTTCTTTCACAAAGAAGATGCAATGTAACTGAGGTCACTTAAACTGAAGAGTTTGTCTACAGAACACCTTGACCTGATGGTGCTGTGAAATGCTGTAAAATCCAGACAGGCCTTGTTTTTAATGCCAGAAGGAAGAATGCTTTATAACATAAAAATGAATAATCTTTCCCTTTCTCCCTCTAGCTAAGATCGTTCTTGTTTGTCTTTTCTAACATCTATTACATTTTGCGGGTTATATCGGTGGAATCATCCTGTTCTCACGAGCCTGTAGAAACTCAAGAATTGTGTATTCTCTGTGATTTCTTTGCTAGATGAACTTCTGTTCAGCCCGTTTCAAACAGCCAAAAGTTCAAGATGTTGGGGGGTACCTTGGGGGGTTCAGGCAGCAATGGGAGGGTAGCCAGGCCAGGCAGTTCTGCATCACTCAGCAAACGCGCTGGCTCGTGGGCCTGCTCGTTGGCTCTGTCCTCACATGGTGGTTACTGACAAAAGCCTGTCTTTGGTCGTTTATAGTGGCTATACGTTGTGGGGTGGTTTAAATGGTATTCAATCTTTTTATTTGCTTAGTGCTGCTGTAGTTAAATTCCCACTGGAAGCTTGCACAAGGCTAAGAGCTGCAATAACTTAAATATATCTCTTTCCTCCTGTGAAGTTCTTATCATTTCAGTGCCTAATTTGTAAAGACCTAAACTGTAGCACTATTCATCTTCCCAAAGGGGACTGTATGAGACCCAGGAGATGAGTAATGGCTTTTCTCAATCAACGTTTTCAAATGCCATTGTCTCGTCATTCTTTGTTCGCACATCAGCACTGCAGTGGGTGTTTTGTAGCACAATATGAAACAAGGGGCTTGCTGCTAAGAGCTTGCGATTTAAACAAGGCAGCAGCAATCAGACAAGGGGCTGGCATGCATTAGCACTTGAGATTCAAGGACTGAATGTGTTGTGCACTGAGGGCAGGTGTGAGGGAGAATGAACAAACACCAGGTGGAGACCAGAGGCCTCTCAAGCGCACCAGGGTAAGTTGCCAGGTGCTGCTCGTAGTCTGTGCTAGCATTGATTTGTACATCCTCAGAGGTTTATGGAGTTTCAACTTGTCCACTTGTATTGCAGTTACATTTTCTTCGACAAGTGTCTTGCTATTCCATAGAAATTTAACCTAGGTTTACTATAACATACTTGGCCCCCTTTTTGTTGTTCCTGCTACACATAAATGTTATTTTTCGGGAGCTGGATTAATCCCCAGATTAAGTGTGAACACAAGATTCACGACACATCACTATTTGTATACAGTGTATTTTCAATACGTGATGAAAACAGCATGAATTTTCTGATTTAGCACTTGTGCAGTGCAGGAAGGAACTATACTAGGTCATGAAATGGTGTTTTAGACATGTATATCTACATGATTCCTAGTTGAACTTTTCCTAATCTTTCTACTCCTACTAACTTTCTAACTCCTGCTCACACTAAGGTCCATGGAGTGAGGCTTGCAGTTTTGTTTGTGTCCTGCTGTTTGTGGAACGAACAGAGTCTCTTTGCCGGTTGTACTGCGGCCTTGCTGGCTATTTTCTGTTTTCTATTTGTGTTGTCTGATTTCTCTTTACTGACTGTAGCACTTTGAACTTGTTATTGAGTTGCATCTTGTTGATGTCAAACTCTTTTCAATTGATCGGATTAATTTTGAATTCTAATTCTGTCACGGAGAGTCCTGACGACCCCTTTTCCATATATACTTCTGATCCATTGTGCAAGCTGTTAGTGCTAAGTATCAAAGAGGAGTGAAGCTGCAGGTGGTGAAAAGTGGGGCGGGTGCTGGGACCCCAGGAGTGCAACATGATTTTTGGTCTAGAGCAGGGAGCCCTTCTTCTGTCTCCTTTTTGCTGCCGCAGGTAGTGCAGCAATAATTCAAACCAGCACTTCATTATCCCAAATCACTTTAAATGACAATAAATACTTTTATTTCCATTTTATAGAGGGGGACAGAGGGCAAAGCGGTGCGGCTGGTGGCGGAGCTGCTTGTGCCCTGAGCAGCACCTGGTGCTCGAGGCTGCCTGTCGCCTTCCCCGTGCCTAGCTCTGCAAAGCTGGTGGCAAAACCTAGTGTGTCTATGCAACAGGAGTGGTTTCAGCCTTGATCAATGCTTACAAAATGCTTGGGAGTAGGTTAGTGTTCCTGATATTGCTAATAGCAAGGAAAGAGAAGGGATAAATAATAATAATTAAGAAAAGATAGAAAATTATCACAGTGTAGCTCTTCAATCCCAGTTTCTGTGTGCTCTGAGGCAATGAGTGGGTGATATACAGCATCCCTGTGCCCGCAAGCTGTGTGTCCACCTCCTCTTTGCTATTTATTACAGGTAGGTGAGAGCACTATACTGCTGATGTCATGACTATTGATTTGAGGTAAGTGAGTGTGTCGCTGCAAGGGGATTTATGTGTTGTCCTCTTCTGCTCATTGCGACAGGAAATATGTTGCAGGGTTCTGAGTTCAAGGGTTGATGCTGGGATGTGAGGTGTGCAGGCAGGGATTGCTCTGCTTTTCCAGGGTGAAAGCAAAGATTTTGGGGCTCCTGCTCTGTTAAAGCTGTTTGTAGTACTGCCTCTCTACTCTCAGTTTCTTTGTGTTTGTATACCCTTTATTATATACCCCCTGTATTCATAATTATGCCCCATGGGCATAATTCTTGCATGAAGACAATGCTTTGATTCTCAAAGCTAAGTGCCTTTTGGGAATGAGCTGGCTATTCAGTAAGAGTGGACATTATTTTAAAGCCAGAGTTAGAATAGGCTGAGCTAGAATTGATCTTGGTGTTTTCTCACACAAGCAAATATTAACAACAAATATTACAACAAATATTAACGCTACCTTATAACTCTTGACAGTCCACTGAAACAAAAATAGACTTGAGGAACAGAACAGTGACCTGATAGCAGTCTTGAAAAGGAGTGTATTCCAGGATTTTTCTTGGTCTTTGAAGGGTAAAGGTCTAATCACAGTTTTAATTCTGTTTCCAAACATTAGCATCTGTGGCAGAGCTTGCATTTATTAATGCTGGGGAAATCTCCAGAGAAAAGTTCTCCCAGAGAAAAGTTTTGATCTGTTGGGCCCATGTAAAAACAGTTTGCAAAAAAGAAGAGCAAGTTCCCTTTCATGCAACTGCAGTGCAATATCTGCAGCTGCTAAACCACAACTTGAAGCTTTCCAACCAAAGGGTCAATGTGGAACAGTTCTTCTGGTGTCCTCAGCTGGAGGTGACATGAAGGGACATCCTTCAGGGGTTTCTCTCTGTGTCTCATTTACCAGAGTTGCAGCATAGCTCTGATTTGTGTTTTTAAATTTGTCCTTTATTACTCAATGCTCAGAGCACTAAGGAAAATTACAATTAAATAGCAAAAATGCAGATAGTTTCTTCTGTTTTGTTACAGGATATTTACTGGATTTTTGGGAGTTTGCCTAGTTCTTGCAGAGGATACTGCAGGCAGAGCTGACCTTAACGGGACACGGACTTTGCTCGAAGGTCTCTGGGCACCCACAGCTGTCAGTCAATTCCACAGGGACTTCCAGAATTTCACGTGCAGCCTAAGCAGCTATATTAAGGTCAGTGACAACCTTGCCTGCTCCTTCTGCCTCTGATATAAAGCGTGTACTTGCTATGGAGAGATGGATGCAATATTCTTATTCCCACTGGACTGGCTTCTTAGCAATTATTACAGCCATTTGCTGTAGGGAATAAGGACTGTAAAACCTCACCTGGAGAAAACTTCCCCTTAAAATATCCCTCTGTTCTGTGAAATGACCTTGTGAGAATAATGTGGAGCTTGAGATGGACGGAAATTGTTCTGTTAGAACAGAGTTGTTTAGCAGGTTTTAGGTTAATATCATTAATGCGTTTTAGTCTGGTTATATGAGGCTAAAGTGCAACCACCAAATTCTTCTCGTCAGCTCTGCAAGGAGTCTGGCAGAAAACAGTCTGTTTTATTTCTGGCCTGTGAATCATGACAGTAGTAAAGATTTTGCAAGTCGTGTGTTATCCCATGTTGAGCCACTCATTTCACTCCTTCAGCTCTACCTGGAAGACTGCTGAGGGAAAGGGGGTGACTGAGGACATGTGGCCAGAGTGGGCCTTAGTCTTCTGCGTTTGCTGCACTGCTGCTAGAGTGAACGTGGTTCTGAACTGCAGGCTGGGAAAATGCTGCTTCTCAGTGTCCGTTTTCAGAGTTTCCCAGCAACAGACACTGTAACCAATGTAAAGAAACAAGAGGGGCTTTAACCCGCTGCCTTCATTTTACAGACTCCGTTGTTTACTTGTTTTACCAATTAATTGCAACCCTACAAGAAAATAAAATAACACTGTTTATTTTTTATCTACAATTAATAATGCTGTTTCTGACTGCCAAAAGGTTGTTGTATTCAACATAGTTGAGAGGAAGCAGTTGAACATACAGACCAACCTCATCTTGCTGTTGTTTTGGCCTGTTTCTGTCCTGAACAGGGACATGTCTACCCTAAAACTTGGTAATGGTTTCATTATTGATGATAGCACATGAAATGATAGCAGGAACATTTGCAGGAGAACTGCCCATTGTTCAGTGTTTTGGCTTTGTTTTCAGTAGCACTCGAGCTGCAGGGTACTGCTGCCTTGACTTTAGATAGGAAACTCTCCAGTAGATATCTTGGAATTCATTGTTCCTCTAATAAGCTGAATTTGTGCTTAAATTTTGCCTACCTGAAAAGCAAAGGGACTTGGGAGCTTGGGTGAAGTGAAATATGCCCCCTGTCCCTCCATCAGCTGTTTTGTTTCAGAGAGCCAGTGCCATGTCCTGCACCAGATCTGTGCTCTGCATGTCGAAGTATCCGAGCTTGCATGAGTGTTCCCTTCACAACGCCCAAATATTGCTTTCTGGTGATTAACCACTACTCTTAGCTCTTTTTTAATGCCTGCCTTGATGTGTGCACATCAGGCATGTGATGCTCTCCAGGATGGTACCAAATACTACCCTCATAAGACTCATTAAGTCATTAAAACTTGGTAATGTGTTGGCATTAACTAGACAGTTACACAGTTTGGTGGGTTTTTTTTTTTTTTTTTGAAATAGAGTCTATATATATCTAAAAAATACTAAATCTCATTTAGAGCTCCATTCAGAAAGCACTTAACTTCATGCCCAGTGCTAAATTTACCAGAAACTAGGTTAATACATTAATGATGCTGCAGGGCCCTGTATTAGGCTGTTAAGTTCAGGATGCAAGCTGAAGCCTTCCCTCCCAATATTTTGAAAGAAATGGCCAAGTCGGCAAGTTTTAGCTGTCCTTCACACAACTGTCCTTTGCCATTTTGCAGTGATATGTCTTGCTGGCCACAGCTGCACTGCAGGGGTCATTCGGTGGCTTCGGAGCGACGAGCTGCCCCTAGGCATCTTCTGCAGCCCATTAGGCACAGGCTCTCTGTCTTCCGTGTCAGTTGTGACTGTCTTGCTGTCTATTTTTTTTCCTGAAAATACACATTTTTGTGGGCACTGCAAGGAAAATTACAGTACTGCTAATATTTAAAACCTGTCTGATGGCATCACCAAGCTGTGATTGAGTGCACTGTGTTGCTCAGCACCTTCAATATTTCTTTTTTTGATAGGCTCCTCTTCAAGAAAACTCGAATGATAAAGGGAAACTGGTGGAGTTTATTACTCTGTTCCATCAGAAGTTTCCTTTTCTCTGTCCCTCTGTGCAGAGGCAGATTTATTTTACTGTTCCTAGCTGGTGAAGATTGAGAATGGCACAAATAGGTTTTTCTTTTTTACACATAGGTCTTTCTTTTTTTTGCTTCAACAAATCTATTTTGTGGAGGTTGTACAATGTCACTGATTCTACCTGGTCTTTGTTTAAATTACTATCTCTCTAATTATCAAACTGTATAGATAGGGTTGCAGTATAATTTCCTTCTAATTGCTTATATTCCCACATTTACTCATACTTGCATTATACAGTTTTCAGGATGAAATAATTTCCAGGGTGCAGGAGAGATTATGTGTGAAACTCACCTCTTCTAGCAGGCATATGAAGAGTCCAGATTAGTGTATTTTCATATTATTTGAAATGAAGATATTTTGTGAAAAATGAGTAAATGTGACAAATGTGAATTCTCGAGTGCCCCTTCCCACATTGGGTTCAGCATATTTTAAAATTTCTAGAAATCATCAACATGGTCAAATTTAAAATATGTTTAAGCTTGATAGTAGGCTTTCACTGAGGCGAGGTACGTAGAGAGAATTATTAACTAGCAACAGTAACCATCTTTTAGACTAAACATATTATTAATGTTGCTTCATCTAGCTTAGTTGGTTTTTTTCCCCATCTTGGGAAGAAATAATCGGGATTTATGTGTGTCTATGCACATGTGTGTGCATATCTGTGTGAGGCAATTATTATAGCACATCACTATATCCTCTTGGACTTGGGGCAATGTGAAATTCTAGCTTATCCTTCCACCACCACAAGTGCCTACAGTTGTTTGACCCTGTATTATATGTTTGCGTAGGGTGCTGGCATGATAGCCTCCAAAATTATTGCTCCATGGTGTGATTTTCAAATCCAGTTCTCCCTTCTAAGAAGGATTTCAAAAATAATTAAATGTAGGAAGTACTAAAGTTCATTAGTAAGTAAATTCTGACACTGCTTGTTCTCACTAGTGATAATTCTCTAAGTTGGAAATAACTTACACAAGAGAAGATGGAATAAAGCTCTTAATAATAAATAGAAAAACTGCATTTCTTGGAGGAAGAGGATAGTATGGGAGCATCAATTCTTTATTATTGTGTTATCAGTTTGGAGTTCTGGCTTTGCTGCACTTTTCTGGAAGAACAGTGTCTTCCAGTCAGACGGTTCTTGTCCTGGCTGACACTGATTTGAAGCTCTCAGGCTGCCCAGCTCTTTTGTTTCTTGCAGAGGTGATAATTTCCACTGCTGAACCACAGCCTGCTCTGTCTTATCACTTATCTCTGTCACTAGGACTCCTGGTGCCTTTAAAACATGCCCTCCTCGTGCTGCTGTTCTTCCCTGGAGTCTCATGGCACTGGGTTTCTCCTCAGCTGAGGGTCTCTGAGGGGACAGATTTCACCTTATTGTGCTATCTCAAGACACATTGCTTCAAAAAAGGGTCACCCCTGCCTGCCAGGGGCTTGAAGGAGACAGAAGACATCATCCCTGCGTGGCAGGTCTCCATGAGCTGAGAGCACCAGAAGTTGCTGTTGCCGTGAATAAACCCAAGTACCAACTCACTACCCAACAGAGGGTTAATTCCATTTAGAGTGTTTATTTGAAAGGAAGTCTACAGTAATCTCCATATGTCCCCGGACTCAATCCTCTGCTTTGCTCGGAGCTGTATGTAAACATCCATTACAGTTTTTTGCCTTCTCTTTCCCTCTGCCAATTTAATTTGTTGTTGTTCTGTACTGGATGGCACTTTGTAGCTCTTAAAACAGCTTTGATGCTTATCTGTTAAGGTATTGTAAAGATTAATGAAATAAAGCACTTTTGTGGGTAGGAGTGGGTAGGGTAGCAAACAAGTTATTACAGCACTTTGTAAGTGATGAAATATCATAGCATAATTTTCTGCGAATTCTGCGTAGCTTGGCAAGGATTTGCCTTAAGAACTATATGTTTTTAATTATGGTAACATTTTGTGGATCCAAAGGCTATTGTTTTCCCAGCTTTGAAATACTGGTTCTCAGTTGTGCACATGTAGATTTTCAACGCGCATATGCAGATTTCTGGCCAAAAGGGCTACGTCTTGAACTGTGGAGAGCACAGAAATTTTGAATTGAAATCTTATTTTCCTTCTGAATCAGACTGAAAGCCTAAAAAAATTAAAAATAAGAATAGTTTCAAGGACTTTCTTTTAATGATAGCATTTTTTATTGGCGTACCTGTTGAATTTTGCTTCACATTGACTTAATATTAGTACAATTTTGATTAAAATATGCATATATAAAATATATTTTGAAAACTCCTGCTCAGCATCCACAAATGCAGCTGTATGTTCTTTCTGCTCACAGTTTGATATTGAAAATTAGTTTTTAACAAGAAAGATATCCAATATGGTGTGTATCACTTTCAAGGGCCCCATAAATTCCTCTAAATGTGACCCTAATTGTTAGGTCAATTAGGTCACCTCCTAATTGAGTGCTTAAAGTCATGGTTCTGAGTGCTCTTAAAAATAAAGCTCCTTCTGGCTCTCATTTTCTCTTCCCCTCTTGTCCCTTTGCACGAGAACATCTGTTCCTTCCTGGTAATTTTCCATTTAATTGTCATCCCTTTTAGGAGTAGAATTTGATGAAGTTCTCCACATCTTTACATCTATACATTTTCTTATGGATCTTATAAGCCTAAACCATTTACCTTCTAAAAACTTCTTTCCTCTAATTAAGAAACTTCTTGTATAACTACATGTTCAGATAGTGCAGAAGCATAATTTAAATTCCTCAATTAAGTTAGTTAATCCCTTCTGAATACCACTGCATCTTCCTTATTGCAGAATCCCCTCAGAACTCTTATTCCAAAATCTTCCTTATTCTCCAGATCAGTTTTTGTAATACTGAAGGATGTTACAGAGAACTATGAGTGGTTTCAATTTCAAACCAATGAGTCTAATCCAAAGACTACGACTGGGAGTTTTGTATTTTATTTAATGGTGTGTGGATACAGCTTAGCATCTTCATCCTTGTGCCTAGCTGTTGTGTAGAGCTTTTTAAAATAATGACATTTCCTCTTTTGCATTTAAAATTTAAACCTGACAGGAAAGCAAGGAAACCCTAGGTTTCAACAGGAGGAGTTTCTCAAGTGTCTTATGAACGGTGGGGATCTCTGCCTGTGTTGATGCCTCCCTCTCCCCATCGGGCTGGGCACGCAGGTTGGTGGGGCGCCCCGGGCACCCCAGGAACTTGGATGGAGCACAGCGTGCAGAAGAGCAGTCTGCTGCAAATCAACCCAATTTGGGAAGATACCCT